TCGCTCTATTCTCGGGGTATATTCTCGGAGAAAAAGTTACTTATTTAGGAAGCGCTTTACCTAAATAGGAAATTACTTTCGGCGAAAATAGGACTGCCTCTAGATTAGGGTACCTATTTTTAATACTACTCTTTTCTATATTATTCGCTAGTATTAGCCTAGGCGAGACTTCGCTTAAAACCCTATCTATAATATTATTACTATTTTCGAATACTACTACTATATTTTTATCGTCTAAAGTACTTTAATAGTTACTAGCGAAGCTACCTACTTCTAGTATAGGTAATAGTATCGAGTATAAATTAGATATAAACGGATTATTCGTAGGAAAGGTTCGATAATACGTCGATAAGTTTTATTAACTATAAGCGATAGGAGTAGACTAGGCTACGAATTATCGAAAGAAGCTTTCTATAATCTAGGATATATTTATCTTTATACTTTAATATAGAGTATCGTACTTTTTAATTAGAAACGAGTTTTACTATAGCCGTATATTTTAAAAGTCTTACGTAAGCGTTATATCCTAGATCCGTAACCCGAGTTATATTAGTATTATAGCTACGTCCTCTTCTATAGTAGTAGTAAAGTTAACGACTTACTCTCCCTATTAGAGCTACTATAATAATAGAGCGTCTCTAGCGGTAGCTCTAGTAGCCTACTAGCGTTTATACCGCTTCTTCTCTTTTACTCGACTAAGTTTATAGCGTCGCTATACCGCTAGATTATTACTTTTACTTAATAGCGGCCGTCTACGCTTCGAAGGTATTATTTTAGTACTAGGAGACGATATATATTAGTATATAGTTAGAGTTCGCCGAATCGAGCGAGGAATTCTAACGCTAGGGTTACGCTAAGCCGAATACGTCTAGAATTCTAATACTTTTAGTATCTCGCGTCGTAACTACGATAAAGTTAACGACTTTAACGACGTACTATATATCTAATATACGTCGTAGTAATATAAACTTAACGTAGTACTACTATATATTACTTTATTTATCTATTCGTACTTAAAAAAATAGGATATTTACCCTTTAGTACTTAAGCCTAAGTCTAAAACTTAACCCTAGAATTATAGGCTAATATTATAGAAGTACTTTAGTAGTATCTATTTATATTATTTAACTATAAAAGCGTTTAAAGAAGCTAATATTTAATACTTTTAGTATAGTACTTATACCGCTATATATTAGTTTATACTATTTAGCTAGGGTATTATTTAATAGTATTCCTAGTATAGTAATTAATAGAGTAGTTCTTAGTAGAGGTTATATATATATAGTACCTATATTATATAACTATTTATATTTATCTACGTTAATTACTTACTCTTATAACTAAGTATTTTTAGGATCTCCTTCTATAATAATATATTAAAGATAAAAGCTAATTTATATAGAGGTAGGTTCTACTTCTTTAAACGTACTCGATATTATATTAGTTAGTACCTATACTTAACTTTTTTATATAGTTATTAGATTAGTCTATTACTCTCGTTAATACTATTTTCGAGCTCGAGTAAAAGCTCTAATATAGTCGAGTTTTAGGTTCCTAGATAATAAAGATTTAGAGCGTCTATATTTTACTAGAGGCTCGGATATCGTAGTTTCTATAGCCGTTAAATTTATAATAGTATATAATAGATAGATAGTCGTTAGAATAAATAATAGGATTTATTAAGGGCGCGACATTTTCGCGCCCCGTTTAGGCTGCTTTTGCGGCCTTTTTCGGGTGCACTTTTGCTAGATTTCCTGCGCGCCCCCACGCTTTCAGCTATTATCGGTCCGGCCCGCGCGCCCGCTTAACCCCGGTTACTTCTCCTCTATTAAACCTTCTTTTCGGAGCCTGAAACAGAGGGCTTAACGTTCGACGCAGCCGCCTGACCCTGGGGGTGTTATACTGTCGCACAGCCATGCTGCGGCCGTGCCGCCGCCTTTTATTAGGCCCCCTAGCCCCTCCGTCGTCGCTATCGACTTACGCGCCCTCCTCTACCTCCTCCCGCCGTACCCCCTCCTAGCTAACGCACTGCTATAGCGAGATCGATAAAACCTCGGATTCGCCGCCGAGATCACACCGCCTCTCGTTCAGCCGTTTATACCGTCTAGGAGACCGACGTGGGCTCGGCGGAGTACTATCGCTACAGAGAAGAGGAGTTCGACGATACCTCGTACACGTAGAAGATCTACAAAGCAGGGACAGAGAGCTTGAGTAATTGGATTAAAGAGCTGTAGTACCAGTATACGAGATACACCTTCTAAAGCCTACGGTGAACTAACCGACGCTAGGTCAGATATTGCGAGCACGTTAACAAAGATCCGATAGGCACCTTAAAGGCCATGCCTATCAAGGTTCTCGATAACTTCTTCTACTATGTCCTCTACGTACGACGGGCCAGTGTGCGTTACGCGAGCACCCTACAGACCTATTAGAATGTCTTTACGCTCATGCGGCGGAAAGAGACGGGTATTGTAGATATTAACCCTCTCGTCAAGACTCAGATGCACGGCGTGAGTTGTCCTGTTATAATATCCCTCCATTCTGTTTACGCACTAATAATATGTAGGTGCGTTAAAGACTAGCCGCGGATTTCGAGCTGAGCACAGAGAGGAAACCAAAAGCAATCGTACGGGCCGAGGACGAATTCGAGCTACTCAAGGTCCTCTAGGGCTCGAGTCGAGTACCCATGGAGCACGAGCGCTTAAGAGTGCAGCTGGCGTTGTTAATCCAGCTCGCGGGAATCACCGGCAGTCGTCCAAACGCTCTAATAGGTATTACATATAGCGACTTCGCGCTCTCTCTCCTCAAAGATCCACAGGGAGGCGAATAGCCGAGGCTTGTTATTGACGTTACCCTCACCTAAACGAAGAGCTACCTTGGTCCAAAGGCTCAGTACGTAGCTATTAGCCAATGAATTATATCTGTTAGCTAACGAGATCGTTGTAGCAACACAATCCCCATCCCTCAAGTCGCAAGCGAGCCGTGTCTTCTTCTATGCCCTTAGATAATGCTTCTGAGTCTGATGTTTGCCGACTAGGCGGTTAATGGACTTACTAAACCCGACCAACTCTTCCGCCTAAAAGTTACTCCTAGTCTACACGAGCAGCGGCTTCTAATCAAAGAAGAATAGCAGCGGACTCCGATCTTCCGCCGGCTTAAGCATGAAGCGCATAGAGTGGTCGTGTCGCCAGACCTAGCTGTAACCGCGTCTTGGCTGCGAGACAAACTCAACGACTTAGGCAAGGCCACGGGCTTCTACCTTCCGGTTGGCCCGTACTGTTTTCGTCGGGGTGCGGGTAAAGCTTTCGATAGCAGTAGTAAGTACAGCAAGCTGGCACGCACGTATCGATAGCTAAATTAGGACAGGCCACATTAGTGACTCATAGAGAAATCTTATCCTCTAGTATGCTTCCTCCGCCGTCTTTCAGAATAGTTACTTGTCTCGATATATTACGGCGGACACACAGGCTGCCTTTCGCGGTCTTGAGCCACAGACGGCGGTCATGCGAGCGGCTAGCGGCATGTCGCGCACAATTGACCCTCGTCGGCTAACGGCGCTCACCCCCGAGCAGCAGGCCCAAGTTGCAAGACACCTAGAGGTCAAGCTACTTCGAAGGTACCGGAAAGGACTTAAGAGCAAGATACGTAAGCGCTATAGGACAATTACTCGAGCAAGGGGATCGGCTATCTACAGCGTATATCGGCATACGGTCCGCGACTGTCAGAACACGAGTAAGGCCGTCCGTAAGGCGATAATCGCCGAGAGCAGGAGGCTTTACCAACGGCATCAGCCCACACTAGATATCGAGCGGCAACTAAACGATAGCATCGAAAAGAGGCCGCAAGAGGCCGGGCTAGAGGACGAACAACCCCTTAGCAGCTATCGATCCCGGGCGCTCAACGCACTCCTCACCTTTGTCACGTTAGATCCAGAGGAAGAAAGCAAGCGTCGCTCGGAAGCCATCGCTGCCGTGGCTGCACTAAGCCAAAGACGCGAGCCGGTTATGCCTAAAGTCTGCCGCCCTCGTAGCGTGAATACAGCGTCGACCCCATTAGATGACGATCGCAAGGAGGAGATTCCCCCTTCTTTTCCGCTAGTATGTCACCCTACCCAATACATATTCTGTCTAGGGGACACGGCGCTCTCGTCTGAGCGCCGCGCAAAGGAGTTCCACAGTCGAGGGACTTTGAAGAGACATTTCCAAAATCGACATCTTCAGTACCTCCCAGATGACGAGCCGGTCGATTGCCCACATCCTCGTTGCAAGACCGTTTTGAACGGCAAAATACACCTCCAGAACCACGCGGAGGTGGTACACAAGACTGTCACGTGACCCCGCCAGCATCGATTTAGATGTACTACTGCATCTAGTCCATCCTTACCAATACTGCACAGCTTATCAAAGGCGTCTCATCGTTTCTCGTCTTCTTGTGCTAATATTCATTTATCGTCCATAAATCAAGCTTTAACTTCTACTGTGCCTGCTTTTCAAGAACAATTTATTCGCTCGGCAAGAACGCCAGCTAGCGGAAGTATCTGCAGCTCAATGAGTCGGCATCGGAAGGTCTTGCTGAATACACGCTTTGCATAGGCAGTAGACAGATCGGAGTCTGCTCGGTGGTGTCCGGAGGTGCCCAAGGCATCCGACATTTGTCGCCAAAACGCCAACAGGTGGATCGGAGTACGAATCAGAGACCCACGCTGTGCATGCGACATTCCATCCCTGGGGTTCTGTTCAGCTTCAAGACATATATCGAGACTGCTGCGCCGTGTTTTGCGAGCAAAGCAGCTAGATCATCGGCTGGCAGCTGTCGTCTGATCTGAGGGCGTGCCGCTCCGCAAAAAGAAGCCAATCAACATGCCGCCTGAAGCAAGAAACGTGGGGACTTTCGGAGACTGCGCAGACAGGAACCCTTTCTTCAACTAGACTCACACACAATGCACGCTGGAGATCAACTGGAAAGTCTCTCGGATGAGGAGATACTACAGACATTCTCTGAAAACGAACGTCACGAGCCGTGGTTTCCCCGTATATACAGCGCAGAGCAAGACTTACCATTCGCCGCCGATGGCATTTCTCCTTCGCTACCTGGGAGACGTATTGAGAACGCCATAGGAATTTCCGAACCATTTCAAAAGCTTCGATGTGTTCGGAAATTTATCACGGAGCACGGGATGGACGCCGGAGAACTATCGATCCGACGACAGATGGTCCACGAGGCGAGATTATTGTACGCTGCTCGTCATTACCATGTCGTCCAGCTTATCCATACATACTTCCAAGCGTTTGACGAGGACGAATACCCGTTCGCGATTGTTATGGAGAGGGCTGACAATAATCTTCGACACTATCTACGTCGAGGAAGGATTCCCTCAGCCTCATGGTTCGGGTGTCTAATACAAGTCGTCCACTATATTCATGGATTGGGCATTCGTCACCGAGATATAAAACCTAGGAATATCCTGATCAAGGACGGAAAGCCTTTGCTCGCGGACTTTGGCCTGTCTCAAATGGGATTAGGGAAGACAATGCCGACCACAATTCTCACCCGCCTCCCTGGCCGTACCCCAGGCTACTGTGCTCCAGAAGTCGCGAATGGTAGCACTCGTGGTCGATCTGCAGACATATTCTCACTAGGCGCAGTGTTTCTTGAGATGCTTGCCGCGCTCGATGGGTATGAAACAATAGGACAGCTCCGCACTATTGTACCCGAAGATACCGGTTCTTACAGCGCAAATATTAGCGAGCTCCAAGACTGGATGGCCAACAAATTCCAACTGCAGTCTTGGCAACGAGACCTTTTGACTCTTTGTCAGAAAATGCTCCTCGCCGATCGACATGTTCGACCGTCTGCGGATCGGATTTTGCAGGAATGGTTGTCGTTGCACGATTACAGCTCCTCGCTATTGTGTAGGTGTGTGAATGACAGCTCTACCAATCCAGACGAGGGGCTGGTTGCAGCATGTCAGAGTGGAACAACAGACGATGTTGCTACCTCATTGAAAAAGGCCGCACAGCCTCAAGTCTCGAGTGCAATACATTTCGCCGCAACACGAGGATCCACGACCATGGTTCAGATGTTGCTGGAAGCCGGCGCGGCTGTGGATACTCGTAATGCTGTCGGGCAGACCGCATTGCAATGTGCGAGTCGAAATGGATGTCTCGACGTGGTCCAACTACTTTTGCAAAGCCGTGCAGATGTCGATGCTTAAGACGAAATGGGACGAACAGCTTTGCAAGGAGCAGCCGCGCATGGACATGAGGCTATTGTGAGGACGCTTCTAAATGCTCACGCGGATTTATCGCTCAAGGATCGTGAGGGAAGAACAGCACTTATTTTCGCGTCCCAGAGACACTTCCCACGTGTTCAGGCGATGTTGCAAACGGTGGACTGAGCGCAATGCGTTCAAATGACCGTGGGAGTATGGATCGACGAATTCATCTTCATGCTATTGATAACTTTGTGTCGACCTGAGCGGTTGCAACAAATTGCGCGGCGCCTCCTTTCACTTCTCCCTGCCAGAACCTAGAGTACCGCCGAGAGCATTTGGACCTTGTCAACCACGAGCTCGGTGAACGTGTTTTGAAGCTTCACGCCGACTCTGGGATCCGATTCCAGGTCATTCTCTCCCACACACATACCAAGCTCACCATGAGCTACAAGGCAGCGTCGGGTTACCTCAAAATACTGGTTGCCCGCCACATCGCGCAATGCAAGAAGTGGATTTTCTTTGAAAGGTTCATGCTCAAGCTCGCCGAGCAGCCAACCTCGAATCTGGCAGTCTTGTAATGTTGGCGAGGGCCACGATTCCAGGCACATGAGGTCAGGAAGCGGCTTCCAGTGGGCAATCTCCAGCAGCATGAGACCAAGGCTGTAGATATCATAAGTCTTCCGAGAGTTTGTGGTCTTGGGCGCCTCGCTCTGAATGCTTGGCCATCGATATATGTCCCACCTCGGATCAGTGCCTCGCGAAGTGGTTCCGATGCTTTGTGGCCTCGAATATTCAAAACCAGACAGAATTGGGTTGTCGAAATCGACATTCTCTTGCTCGCAAGCGAACACGACGTTACCGCTGTGGATACCTTTATGAAGCCAATCTGCTGTGTGAAGGTAGAGTAAAGACGATGCCACCTTCCAGGAGAGGGAAATGCGTTGGACCATGGTCGGGCGATATTGTTTCTGGCCCAACATGCCGTGCAAGGTCTTCAGTGTGGTGTTACCATTTGAGCCGTGAGGCATCTCAAAAACCCAGCCCACTTTGTTCTTGACGTGGCGATAATCCACGAAAGCTATGCAGGTGGATGCAAAGAGACCTTTGGGTTTGTCCTCGGAAAGCATCTGTGCGAGGGTCCACGTTCGTATCCGAGACTCTTTCTCTTCTGACGATCCGGGCATGGAATCGTCCGTCACCCTCCATTCAAGCCATACCTCATGTGGCTTTCCATTCTGAACGAAAGTGCCACGCGGCCGGCGTGGATCATGTCTTGTTGGCGTCTTTGCTTCATAACGGCTGAAGCTGCGTTCGAATGTGACAGCATCACACCCGGTAACGGTAATCAAATCACTAAGGCTATCCCTGACGTCGAAACAGGCATTCTGCTGGATCTGACGAGATATCTCGTCTGAAGCGCATTTAAATCTTTTCAGCTGCAAAAGTCCTTGTAGGGCCTTGTTCTCGTTCTCGCTGGACAGACTATCCCCAGGACCTGCGGCAGGCTGCTTGGTGGTGACCAATGCGTGCAAAACGGCCATGATCTCACGAAGGTCGTTCCGAACGACAACCATCTCACGGAACGTCTTCGCCGTAATTTCGCGGATCTGTCGTATCTCGTGGTTGCCCATTAGCTCCCGCAGTCGCTCGGTCAGGCGATGGAGGTCTACTAGCAATGCCTCGAAAGCCGTCGCGTCCCTTACTACCCACCGTACTCGTCGAGGGTGCGATAGTACATCTTTGACGGTATCTGTAGCCTTTGCCATCCGTTTCACGAAGTTGTGGTCTTTGAGCCTCTTGCGTCCGCCCATGCTCCTGTCGTATAGCGATGCAAGGGTGGAGACTTCCGCCACGATGTCAATTCTCTGGGCATTTTGTTCAGCCATTTCCTTGTCCCCTGGCAAGTCTGACTCATTGTTCCATCTAGTAAATAGCTCTTTGAAGTCCTCCAGGAGCCCACCGATTCGAGCGACAACGCTACACAGCTCCGTGGCATTTGTCCCTAAGCTTGCTGCAAGATGGGATCCCTCGGGAATTTCGACGAGACCGGCGGCATAGCCCCAAGCAAGGAGCCGGTGGTATTCCATGATGAATCGTACTCGAAATCCCTCGTAATCCTTCGGCATATCGACCATAGAACAGAAGAATTTGAAGACTGTGTCGATTAGCAAATCTCACGTCCCATTCGTCAGTGGTCGGCCCTTACGCTTTACTGAATGGTCGAAGACATCGAAGGCTAAAGATGTCAGTCCACAACCAAGTCCAATTCCAGTGACAGGATCCATTCCGACGAGAACTTGCTACAGATATACGATAAAGCAGTAAAAAGGGAAGACGGTGGATGATGGTATGGGGTCCGGCATCGAGTATTTCAAGACAAACTAGCCGCCGGGTCCTCCGAAGCAAGCTCAGTGGCCATCGACGCATGATCGCACAGTGCAGTAGTTCCTGACAAGAGCATTAAACACTATTGTAGCATGCGGCGCGTCCCGTGGGTAATAGCATCCTGCGACTCGGTTCGTGTCACTGCGAAGTATGCAAAGGATGTTGAAACCCATCTCTCGCCCAAAATTGTCTCCCTCTCTTGATCTTGAAACAAATACGCCAATTGGTTTAGACAGTAAAATGTAGAACAGACACACTTCTCTGACTACGGCAGCTAGGCTACAACGCCACAACGATTCAAATCTTAGGCATTCAGATACCATAGTCCGATAGGTACTCTAATTGAATGATCATCACTTCTTCTTGTTCTTCTATAGCGTCTCAGCGCGCAAGGCGTGTGCGACTTGATCGTAAATGCATTCTTCCACAGATCCGGAAGGGTGCGTGATGCAGTGGCGACCACATCTATACCCCACTTACCGCTGGCGTTTACACGCTCGCTTTATGTCCACTGTCACCATCTGTAACGAATGTCGTTTGGATGAGCCCCCGCAGGGCATCGAGGGGGCAACCGTGCGGTCAATGGCGCTTGCCGTCTGGAGCCCAAGCGCCTAGCCAAGCGCCGTCCAATAAATATGTCGGCGGCTAAATAGACGTGGAATTCCTTTGAGGGCTGACGCAAAGTATTCCAGGCCTCGTAAGGAGATAGCACTACAGGGCAGATACGAGCTGCCAAGGTGGTCCCTGCTCCCGTTGTTGGCCAGGAGGACCGTCTGGCCCTTGCAAACCATCTCGTCCGTCTCTTCCATCTCTTACGTCTCTTCCTTCTCTTACATCTCTTCCATCACGCCCTTGCCCTCCCTACTAACCTCTTTCCCCGGTGATGCCTTGGTCCCCTTTCGATCCTGACTGTCGCGACTCTTATTGTCATCGTACTAGGGTGGGCGGGCCTTTCCTCGGGACCAGTAGGCTGAATCCGAAGCGCACAATGAGCTCCAGAACGTCAGTCTTGGCGAAGTTGGAACGCTGGTCTGATACTTAAGAAAACAGAGTGGATACTTTTATCCAACTTCGCTATGGTCGCCTCGTGAATGTACACGCATAATGCTCGCGCCCATGCAAGAGGCACATTCATGCTAGGCGGCTTCATGTTGTCTCAGCCACCTTTCAGCCGCAGCGCCAATTTGGCCAATGAGACCTGTCCTCCAAGGCAGAAGGCAAATACTTGAGGTAGCACTTGTCCACCGAGATTCAGTGTCGCCATTTACGCCTTCACTAACCTCGCCATCCAGCTGTCATTTGATCGAGATGGCAGACCCTGTTAGCATCACAGCCTCGCTGCTCGCAATCACAACAGCCGCCATCCAGTCCACAAAGTCGCTGTACGAAGCTGTGAGACGGTATCGAGGTCGGGACAAGACTTTACAGAGACTGCAAAGCGAACTCGAAGACGTGATCAAAATCTTGCAATCGTTGAATGTTGCAATCGCTACAGAGGAGTCTATCCTTGCGCTTCTCAAAGGCCCCGTTCAACGGTGCAGCCAAATATGCCACGAGTTCAAATTGTCGATGGAGAAATTTGACAGAACATCGAAGATGAGTGTCTTAGATTGGGCAAGAATGGAATTCATGAGAGGGGACATCAATGAGTTCATCCAAACTCTTGCAGGTTATAAGTCGACTATCTCAGTCGGGTTAGGTACTATAACTATGTTAGTGGGAAAATAAATGCCGCGTAGGCTGTGCTAATCTCGCGGCGCCAGGCATACATCCAAAGTCACCCAAAGTGTCCTCGAACAGTACACTGAAGGACACGACTTAGGATTTGGAGCTTCACCTACAGCGGATTGACGAGAAGATGACGCAGCTGACTACGGACCACAAAACAAATCATGCTATGGGCGTGAATCTGAACGACGAGAAAGAGGTTACCAGGCAATGCCTTAATGTGTGCGAGGAAGCCAGAACATACCTGCAAAATTTGTCGACTGGAACGGCCTCTCTGCTACACGAAGCACCCCGAGATGCAGGTCAAGATCATTTCTACGAAGCACAGGTACAGACGCGCCAAGCTTTGAACGAGACCCAAGACAGACTTGCACAAACATCCAGCGACCTATCGCGACGGCTGCATGCCCTTGTATCTGACCCTGCTTCTGAGCACAGCGAGGAGAGAATGAAGTTACAGTCAGATATCGAAATCTCCAAACAATGTTTGGGTGTGTGCAACGCAGCAAGCGAGGTCTCGCGTCAGAAAATCTACAGGGTCGGAGAAGTTATTGCCGATGGCGGCAGCGATCAGGTGGTGGCGACTACTTTGGCGGACCTCTTCGATGTCGGAAAGGCCGTGTCCAAAAACAACTCGGCGCAGCTGGTCGCATATTTGACAGATGAGGGTTTACGGCATTTGACTGAGAAGCGATACAGCAGCCGCTTCGGAGCCGTGGCCAACATTTCCGATTCTGTTGAGGTTAGCAACACCGGCCCGCAATCAAACTCTGAGCTTGGTCCGGCAAAGCGTGCTTCTCCTCGAGCCACCCATAGTGAGCATTCCACAGGCCTGAATCCAGAGAAGAGCAAACCGTCTTCCAATGAGATGAAGAAACGAAGGTCGGGCGAAGCTGAGAATGAACGAAGATAATGTTGCGGCCTGGGACCGATTCGTGTCACGACCTTTCTTATACAGCCTTTGCCACACGGCCACCAGTCCAAGGCATGGGCCTAAGTCCACAATGGAATCCTTACACGATAGGTGACAGGATTGGCTGAATTGCTAAGTTGGAATTTCGGATCTGCTTTTCAACGAGGGGATCTAAATGTCCTACATGGCGGCGAGTAGAGGCCAATTCGTGAGATCGATCGTGGTAGGAAAAGCGCGACGTACCCATGTAACAATGTGCACAGCGAAGAGTTCTACTTAGATACTGCAGTCTACCAAGCTAAACCAACATTATGACCTTTGTATGCTACCACCTACTAGCTCCACACAAACAACGCTCCTAACTTAGATATGGACAAGACTTAATGTTGGAAAATGTTAACCTTAGCCCCATGACTCCACGACTGTCTGGCTCAAATTGCTATTCAACAGCTTCAGCTCAAATAGAGACAACTCGGCCCGTGTGAATTCGATGAAGGAGCCCGCGTTTCTGTCCAGTAAGACGTTGTCGATCAAGACAAGCTCGTGCAACGTGTGCGCATGGCGACGCAAGAAACTTTCCATTTGAGCTTGCGAATAGCTCCATCCACGCAGTTCCAAGCGCACCAGTCGAGGAAGCAACAAGTCGTTCAGAAACCACGTAAGGTCTGAGCCTTCGCGGACGGACAATCCCTTGTTACCCTCTAGATGTGGAGATTTCGCACCTACACTAGTTGCCTCCAGACCAAAACAAACGAGGGTAGGAGCAGCAAGCTGCACGAGCTTCGGGAGAACTGATTTGTGAAGCGGTTTGTCACAAACTACAAAGGACAGCTGCAGCTTCCGCAATCCTAGCATGATGTCTTCAAATTCAGTCGGCCCTATATCACACTCGAAGTCCAATGCTCTAACATCCAAGGAAGCCGAGCCTTGCGCCTGAACGGTGATTGCGGGCAAATTTGGAGAGCAGTCTCCGTCCCAATCGGACAGCGAGCCGATCGATAGGCTCGAAATATTGTGGCTGTTGAATGCTGCTATCAATAAACCAAGATTGCGACGTTGGGTAGTGTGAGATAACTCGTAATCCGAGTGCTGACAAGCATTGCTTAGCTTGTCATTGAGTAAACTTGCCGCCTTTGCCGTTTGATAGTCGACTAGTAACACACTCCGTAGCATCGGTAGACACTTCGGTATCTTCTCCAACAGAGTGACCTGAATCTCTTCGACGTATTCGTTATAATCAACAAAATAGCGGTGCCGGTATCCGCTTCGTAGTTGTGGGCGTATGCGCTCAAGTCTTTCTGGTCCTCCAGTCCGGCCGGTACAGTAATGCCCTAAAACTCGCCAGAGCTGCCTGTCTTCCTCGTCTAGATCTTCCCAACTAGCCACCTCTAATGCGGTTTCATACTTCTCCTCCTCATCAAATTCGCTTTTACTCTCGACGTACACAAGTTGCTTAACGTGACGGTGAAAGTAGGGATGGATAATGATTTCGTGGAGCTTTCGAAGGGCGTTGAATTGTGTAGGCAATACAACATAGGTAATAAGGTATGGTGAGCTCAAAATGTGGAACTCGCGACAAGTTAGTCGACATGCGCTTATGACGGGCCGATTGCTGGACAGCAACGCAAAGATTTTGTCCAGAAGTTCTGACGGCAGAGCTGACAAGATAGTGCAGAAAGACATAGAATCTGTCAAGAACCGCAACGAAGGGAAATTCAAACACAACAGGATTTCTTAGGTGAAGCATGTTTAAGTAGCCATAGACACAAATTGGCGGCTGGAATTACGCGCTCCATGGGCGCTTCTATAAATGGAGCCGGCGGTTAGCTATATGGACTTCTTAATTTGAGCATGCGGCTAAACTAGCGTCAGAATAGCACTCGAGGTCCACGAAGCGCCCGGTCAGAGCCCAGACTTGCTTAGGAGATGCAAACCTTTCGGTCATGATTTCGCGCATTCAGCGTTTCAGGAAGCTTCGTTGCATCCAAAGGCTTACACTAGCCCTGCCACCTGAATCACCACCATACTGGTCAATTTCATGCCCTATAGTGTAGTACTATCGGGTCGTACTTACGAATTTTCAAATTCAGGCAACGGAGCAGAGTTGCAGAGTCCCGATAATGAGAGGAGCACAATGGCTATCCTGGAGCCCTCAAGAGAAAGTGATGCCGGTCCAGCCGGTGGCACAAAGTGGGTAGCCCATTTTGAGCGTATCAAAATGGGAGGTCAAACCTTGGGGAGCACAACCGGGTCGCCCCTGTAGGGGTGTCCCTCAGAGCTGGTGGTTTGACCCCTTTAGGAGTCCACTAAGGGGATACCCTCTGAGGGACCACCTCTAAGAGGGGTATCCCCTTAGGGCCCAAGGGATGAGCCCAAAAGGGGTCAAACCACCTCGGGTCACCTAACGGCGATGCTTACCTCGGACAAAAGGGGTCAAACCACTAAGGGGATACCCTCTAAGGGACCACCCCTAAGGGCGATTGCGGCTTACCTCCCCAAGGACAAAAGGGGTCAAACCACTGATATTCTCTGAGCTCAGCGGGGTATCCCCTTTAGGGGTGACCCGATGGTGGTTTGACCTTGTGGGGGGTGTCCCTCAGAGGGGTATCCCCTTAGGGGCGACCCCTTTTGGGCTCATCCCTTGTGGAGGTAAGCCACAATCGGGTCGCCCCTAATAGGCATACCCCTGAGGGACGCCCCAGCACCCCCTCGAAGGGGTGGTCAAGGAACCTGTGTAAAATGCAGTCCCAACAACAGTCTGGACTACCGACCTCAAGTGCCCATTATGCCAAAATTACAGACGTCGTGAACTATCAAGATGCTGCTTTTTTGGCTGACGCACAAGGTTAGGACGGACACGGAAGGATCCCAGGCCTCTCAATGCCCTCCTCAGCTACAATCGACAGATGGCAGGTAGAACTCGGGGAAATCATGCTGCGACTCTCTAATCAACTACCGGAAATGGCCAGTATTTTAGCCATTGGCCATCATTTTCCGGATGAAGTGCTTGCATCAAGTACCGAATGTCTCGGACTCCGTTTCTATGAGTGTGCAGCGCACCTTTGGGACCGACCAGGTACAGTGTCGCTGTTGTGTTCGTGACGTTGGACTCACTTCTGAATACTCCGTTGTCCAGGCTCAGCACAAAATCATTGTTCTGCACGTCTCGCAGAAATGACTGGTAGCTTGCCCTTTGTTCAGCTCGTCCAAGCACGTAGAAAGCCGCTTCCAGTAGGTGGTAGAATACGACGAATTTCCCTTCTTGTCTCCCCTTCAAAGCGGCAAGGAACATCTCGGCGTTTGCAGGTTCGTTGGTTATCGAATAAGGCACAATCCCCTGTCTTGTAAGTTTGGACTGAGGCTCCAGCGTAGGGCGATGTTTGCCGATGGGGCCGGCTGCAGAATCTTCATCCTGGGCTGATGGCGTAGATGGTGGTTGCATTGACTCAAACGACGTCATTCGATGTTTTGGTGATTCTTGGCTCAAAATGGAGGGAGGCCCCTGATGAGAGTCCGAATAATAGGACGAGCCAGAAGGACTGTGCCGTGGTGGTGACCCCTGGACACAACTTGTGCCAACTTCCCTGCTACCTTCTCTCGATTGTGCGACGTATCGCGACCCTTCCCCTAGCTCTTGATGGCTCTTTGTTCTGTCCGGGCCATCTCTGTCATGTGAATTACTGTCGTTCACACCCGTGTCTCTAGAGTCTTTGTCGTGATCTTCTATTGCTTCTTCTGTTTCAGTACATTGGTCTACCGGGAAAGAGGATATGGGTGAAGGCGGCGGAGGCAGAGGCGGCGTTCGCGGAGCTTCCTGACCCTCCCTGAGGTCAAGATAACCGAAGAAGGACACGAAGATGTCTCTGGCCACTCCAAACGCGCTGATATATCTTGCAGTGGTTACACGTGCGTAATCCTTGTAGATATGTTGCAAGAACAGATATCTGCGGTGAGCCAAATACGATGATTGGAATGGCCGGCCGCTTCGATAGGCAGAGTCGTCTGCGCCTTCAGTATCGGTATTTACCTCGGCGCATACTGGCACACTTGGTCTAAAGGGAATGCCATGCAGAAACCGACACAAATGAACAATTTCGCCCTGCAGCTCGCTCTCAAGATTGTCGGTGTTGTAGTCGTCGTTAGGTCGCATCCGGAAGATGAAAGAGCGTACAATCTTTTCAAGAGGGTCGTTCTTGATCATCTTGTCGATCTCTTTGGAACGAAACCCGAGCTTGTATGCCAACTGACCCAGCTCGTACCACATTTCCTCCCTTAGTTCGTACTGAGGGTCCGGCTTTCCGCTGTCTTTCCGGGGCTTCTGCTTATTCATATAAGGAAAGTTTCGCATTGCGAACAGCCAGAGCTGGAGGTAGGCAGCTGCTCTTGCTTGATTCATCATTCCGTCATATGTGTGCCACTCGAATTCCTGTACTTGAACATGTGCTCTGCCTTCTTGTTGCTGCGTGAACCGAGAGGTGAATGCGTGATAAAGGGAAGCTTCCTTGGCCGGTAGCAGTTTCTTGAGTATCTTAGCACAGGGCTTGAGGCATTTGGTGTCGTCAAAGAAAGTGACTAAAGATAAAATTCTCCCTTCCACTCGAAGAAGATTTGTCTTGATCATGTCCCGGTCCTGGATGTCCCGGATGTTTGGGAAAAGCTCGTACGATGCCATGCCCGCTGCTATTCGAGTGCGATCGATGGATGATAATTGAGGATATAGTAGCTGCAAAGACTGGACAGTCTGCATGTCGAGCAGAGAGTAGTTTACCTCCCGAATCAAAATACCTGACCACATTTTGTAGATGAGGTCAAGGTAATGAACAAGCTCCTGGTAGTGTGAATCAGTCCTGTCATTCACGTCGACGATAATCCCTTACCTTCTCACAACCCATTTTCAACTTCTCGCCCAAGGCTCCTAAAGGTAGTAAAGGCCATAGTCCTACAAATGGTAGCAGAGCATCCAGTGCCATGGTCATACGTTCGCATCTCGTAACCAAATTTGTCACATCGTTCAATTTATTCTTGGAAAGCCTGGCCTCCCACTTCCCCACTTGGGTTTCGTCTGCTAGAAGTTGATAATGGCGAAGATAGCGAAAGACTTCGCCATCACTGAACCCACGGGCATTGGAGAACTGGGTACGCAGCTCTAGGACAGCTTCTTGCGGCAGCTGAGTAGAATAGAGCTCTGCAATCCACCAACTGTCCGCTGGGTCTAGGAATCTGCGACCGGCTTCAACTCGGTGCTTCCCATGCAGTGTTATAAGAGTCTCATCGTCTCTTAAATTGAGGTGAGGAGGAATGTTCCTGATATCAAAGAGGTCGGCACGCGTGATGTTAGACCTGGCTATTGCTGCGGTCAGGAGCTCGTCGGAGATCATGACTGCTATGTGCTTATCAGGGTCCAATCTCTGACATCCCTGGGCTTGAAATATCCGGTGCAGTCGCTCAACATTCTTCACGTCCAGCGTGCGACTGCCGGGAAGATGTTCGTGCTCGTATCGCAAGCTGCATATTCTGACCTTGGCACGGCCGCAGTAGAATTTCTGCTTACGCAGGAATGTGCTTTCCATATTCGGTGCGCTAGAAGTCGTCAAGGGAGAGAATTTGCAGGTACTTTTAGAAATCTTAAAAAAATCAAGTTTGGAGTTCAAGCGCAGCCCTGGCGGTGGATATGTCAGAAGTAAATGGGCTGTCACTTCTAATTTGTCTCTGTGGTCAGGCTTCAAAAGAATCGAATAGCATCAAGTAATATCTCGGCGCTTAACAGATCTCGCACGCAGTCGCAATTAGCGCCTTCCTCGAGTACAGAGAATCCAACTAATTTGTATGCACAGACAGCTAAGCGCCCAGGGTACGGACGAGTACGATAGGAAAGTAGAGCTAACCTCCTACGTAAATTTGAGCTTATATACTCGCGGAGATCTTCAGTCCCGAGAACAAGGATTCGCAGGAGTTTTAAGTAAATTTATTTAGCGATTGTAGGAGATTGCTTCAGCCTAATATAGATCCTACAAGATCAATCCGAGCCTTAGGTTCGAATTATGTTATAAAGTGATATCGAACAGACGGTTTTTAGTGTCGGTGGACCTAGCCCCGTTAAATTTATTAGAAGGTACTTCAAGATTTACGCTTCAACTGAGCCTCTACATAAATTACGCACTGCCCGACTATACGCAATAGTCGTCGATACTAAGTGACTCCCGTTAATAGAAGCTATTATCGTACTGTAAGATAGAGCTTATAGTATTATTTATATATAGGTAGAGACTTAACTCTACTAGATTAGAAGCTGTGAAAGGACTATACGCGAGCTATTTAGAAACAGTATCTAACAAACACTACTTAGAAGCATTAATATCTACTTAAAGTTATCGCGATTATCTTAGTTGCCCCTAGAAAGTACCTGCTTGTTAGTAGCTTAAGTATTCTCGGCTTTCTACGATAGGTCGGAATTCTACATGTTCGGAACGGTAGTCGTACTAGTGGATAAAATTATTCACAAAAGAACTCTAGAATGAAGCTGTGCGTGTATCGTAGTTAACCGTAGCTCGAGGTAGACTAATACTAAGCTTAAGCTCCGTCTTAATCTTCTTTTATAGCTTCCGAAACTCTGTAGAGGTAAGTCTATTAGGGCTGCCGGGTCTTATAGGTATGTTAGTTTAATAGACATAGGGCTATAGAGTTTAACATGTTATATAGGTTTATAGGGGGTATAGAGAGAAGTCCGCCGGGACTTAAAGGGAGTTCGATACCTTAAGGTCTACACCTAAGAAGTTAAAGTATTCTGCGTAACTACAGCTAGACGTATATAATATCGGCGCGAACGCTACGCGCAAAGCGGGTTACTCGACTACAAGTTACGGGTAATGCCGTATAGGATGTAGGATGTGAATAGAAAGGTTACAGTATCTCGGACTATTTGTAGCCTAAGGCAATTTATACGTACGTTTCTATAAGCGCCGAACGTATTTCGTGATTCGCTAGAACGCCGCACTACTAACGCACTACTTAGCCCAAATCTAGGGAACCCTAAGCGGTGTCTAAAGGTAACTATTATAATATTAGCCTGCTTTTATAATAGACACCTTACGATTACGCTTGCCTAAAACTAGCGTAATTCTCTAACAGCACGTTCCTGTCGTATAGCTTAATATCGTAGGCTAAGGCACTTTAGGAACACTAGTCGAGAGTACAGAGCACGCTTGCTAAGACACTAGATAGTTAAGCCCGGTCTACCCGGCCGCGGACTTAGATAATAATAACAACATTACTGCCTTTTATTAGTACCCACTTTTATCCCTATCTTGTATTAGTTATAAGCCCGGAGACACTTCCTTGTACTACACAGTATTACTAGCTATAAGGACTTATCGTAGTAGTATTTTCTTCTATAAATTTAGTATCCGCTATCGAGTTGTACAATTATAATCCGGCGTTTCCGCAAAAGCGGGGTTAGAGAAAAAGTAACAGTATTACTATATTATTAAGATAGAGGTTTAAAAACGAAAGGGGATCCTAACAGTCGAAAGACGAAAACTAGTACGCAGAAAAGAAAGAATTACTTATTATATCGATTAAAGATTATAATCTCCCGATACTTAACACTCGCGGTAACTAGACCGACTAGATCAACTCTATCGAGGATCTCGCAGTCCGTAACGATATCTAGAACTACTACGATCCCGAAGGTATCGACAACTTAGTATTTACTACTACTAAGCTACTAGACTCTACGAATAAGGATATTGTCTAGAGATATTAAGCGCTT